GGCCATCAGGTTCTCTGTAAACTGACGTGTCGAGAAAGGCGATCTTGCTGTTGTTCTCGATCTCCATGGTGAAAAGGATTGATGCTTGTTGACTGTTCAGGTGTTGCAGGAAGTTAGGTAATAGAGAAAAACGTGTTAAAATTTTACGAGCAGGCTACCCATTTCTCAGTCCGGCAAATGGTATTCGCGATGGCTAATATCCAAGCACGACAATTTGAGCGCGGCTGTTGTCAAGAATCGTACGTGGAAGACGCAGTGCTTCAATCCAAGATTATTACGTATACAGATTGTGTTATTGTTACTTTTTTTTGGAAGGGAGAGTGGGGGAGAGGGTTAAAAATTGTTACCGGCAACTTGTTAGCCAGAAAACTTCACAAAACGTCGAGAAGTAAGTTGTCATGGAGTAGGGGACGGGTGTGAAGGGTACAATTCTAATACATGTAGTCACCATTTGTTAAAAGGAATCTCTAGATAAGCGGTGGCTTCGATACGTTAGAAGGACCAAACATTAACAATCGCTATATAACGAAATACTGTCCATTTCCTACGACAGATAAAGTAATAGCTGTCATTGAAGTAAGTTTCTTTCATAATTATTTCTAATATTCTCGCATGATTATTTCATCCACAGTGCAAAGTTACAGCAATGTGGAAGAAATACGAATAGCACTGGAAGATGGAGAAATCGATGGTGCTCTCTTAGACACTTATGTAGCTGCAGAATATAAAGAAACACTTTTCAGTGACAAAATATTTGTTAAAAAGATTTTGGACCGTCCATTTGGTTACGGAGTGGTGCTGTCGGGAGCGGCTGTCAACGTGGAACAAAGATGTCGGGATTACATCGACTTGCGAATAAGTGAAATATTCCACATCATTCAGAATATGACCAAAACACTCGACGTAAGTATTTTTGAAGTAAAAAGTGTGACACATCTTACAGCATAAATCGAACCAAATGAAGGCTCTGGCGAATAAAAGGTGACACATAACGGCCAAAAGGCCATACCACAAGAGTTAATTAGCATCCTAATTAAATTTAAAAAAAAAAAAAAAACTTACTCAACCTAAGATTTAACAACCTACTTGTTACGAAACCAAGATTTTAACCGATGGGCATCTCTGTTAGTGTCACATGGATGATCCTGGACATTTTCGTTAATTTTCTCTCCTTGACGTTGTATTTTTTTTTTCACAGGCGCCCGCCCCAGATGCCAAGGTAGACCAAAATACGGGATTATTTGACAGCTCATCTGATATGTTTCGCATGTCTATGATTGCCCTGGTAGGTGTCTTGGGCGTGGCTATCTGTTTCGGACTTGCCTACCATTACGTGATATTTCTTCCCCGAGGAACGAAAGGTACGTTAAAGGAGAGCCGTTGCGCCTGAGAAAAAAAAAAAAACTCTGATGGAAACAACGCTACATTTACTCGTTAGAAAAGAAGCGTAACGACAGTAAATGCAATAAAGTAATCACTTGATTTAAAAATTTGAGAACCTGAGAATTTGAATCTGACAGTTTCGGAGATGTGAAGAAATCTATCTGCAAATTATAAAACATGAAGTAAAAAATGGCAAGATCCAGTTATTGCTTGGTCTTCACTTTTGTAAGACTTTGGAAACTATCAAAAACATTTGTTTAGTTACCCTGTACCTTGGAATACTTAAGCTATTGGTCGTGGCAGATTGCAGCACCCTTTCGCGCTAGGCTAGTTTGGTGTATCAGGCCAGGAGGGCGGCTACTGCGCAAATCGCAGGTCTTCCAATAATATTCCGTATTCTTTAAAGAAAATTGCTCTGTTACAACAAAAATGACGCTTTCAGGCGAAACTTCTAAGAATTCAGTAAATTCTACCTCGATCAGTGCTATTGTCATTTTCTAAAATTTGTGCTGCAGGCAAGATTTCACTATATATGAAAGAACTCTATTATTAATTTGCTAATTACATCATGTTGTGTTATTGCAGAAAAACAGTTGAAAACAACTGCAACACAGTTCTCTTACAAAGAAGCTCTCATCACAGACATGAAAGAGTTTGTAGACGAATTCTACTCTGTAATGTCAGCCAAGATATCATCGATGAAAAAAGAGCACAAACGCGAAATCAGAGATATTAAGAACAAAATGAAAACTGCAACGTCAGCTAGTAGATCTGTTAACCTTTTCAAACAGTCCAAGGAATATATCGTAAACAGCAACGTCACAATTTCAAGCTGGGCCAGTGAGAAGCAGTACGAGTTACATAAACAACTTTGTCAACTGGTCTCAGAAAGCAGGAGTCAACTTCAACAATGAGATTCATCTGACATTCCCCAAAGTTCAGTCTTTGCAAGTGACGTGAAGCATGAAAAACCTGTGCATCAAGTCAAGAGAATCTAGGCAGTCAATAGTCGAGTGTGTTCTGTTAGAAATATCCTGGATCCCTAACGTAACATAATATATGTTCTGATATTCATTTATACGTACCTGATCCCATCTCATGATAGCTTCATACAAACTCATATTTCATATATGACTGCGGAATCGCCTGACATCTACCCTTTTCCTATGAAAAATCTACGATATCCTAAAAACCAAAACATTCAATTTCAAGAAAATGATTGGAAAAAGGTTCCCCTCTTAAGCGTATCAGGATCATCCGTGAGGGGCGAGGGGGTTTATAAACAGGGATGTGGGCTTATAACGGAATGGGCATTGGTTTCGGCTCTCATATCAGCTCATACGCGTGTGGAATGTAGGACTACCAATACTCATCACCTTGATGTATTTACACTAACATTGCAACCACAAACGACATGTACCTGTACATTGACGAATAAAAGTGTTTTCATAAATTTTTCATAAATGTTTTATCGTTTATGTTGTCCATATTAATAAAACTTATTAAACGGAAGCCGTCAAGTAATTGCACGGCAATCATGACGGGACGCACGGGGCTTCTACTGTAAGTACCGCAGAGAAATGGTAGGAAATTTTCCTAGCAATCCTTACATACTCTCACTAGGGATCTTCGTCTTGCGGTAAGGGAAGGCGTCATAATCTGTTTCAGTGACATGCCGATAATATTAAATAAAAAATAAACCAGAAAGGACCGATGGAATATGAGACAAGCTTTAAAATGAAGTCACGATATTAATAGTGCTTTAAAAGTAAATAGTGCGTTCGAGTCATTCCCGATGCTTTCAAATGATGGCGGACTCCACCAGCGCCAATAATCTGGAACAAAACAAGCTCATTATATATCGGATCACGTCTAAACACATGCGAAGATAGAATTGGGCAGGAAAAAAACGTGAGCGGACAAAACCGGGGAATGCCGATAAATCAAGTAATCCCGCAATGATGAACGAATCACACAACATGAACCTTCC